AGTTGTGTATATCTAAGTTGTACAATGTGATGTTTTGATATACATAGACATTGTGAAATGATTATCACAATCAAGCAAATTAACATGCTTATCACATCACATAGTTACGTTTTGTGTGTGTGTGTGTGTGTGTGTGTGTGTGTGTGTGTGTGTGGTGAAAACACTTGAGATCAACTCTTTTAGCAAATTTCAAGTACATAGTACAGTGTTAACTATAATCACCATGCTGCACATTAGAGCTCCCAAATTTATTCATCCCACATAGCTGAAGCTTTGTGCTGTTTGACCAACACCTCCTAATTTCTTGCACACCCCAGCCCCTGGCCACTGCCATTATACTCTGCTTTTATGAGTTTGGCTTTTTTGGACTCCACATATATGTGAGATCGTGCAGTATTTGTTTTTCTGTGCCTGACTTATTTCACTTAGCATAATGTCCTCCAGATTCATCCATGTTGTTGCAAATCGCAGGTTTCCATCTTTTTTAAGAATGAATAATATAACATTGTCTGGATGCCTCACTGTTAATTAATCCATTAAGATGGGGCGATGGATACAGCAAACCACCACCATGGCACATGTATACCTATGCAACAAACCTGCACGATCTACACATGTACCCCAGAACTTAAAGTATAATAAATAATTTTTTTTAAAGACAACCTTAGTTGCTTCCAAGCTTTAGCAATTATGAATAAAGCTGCTAAAAATATCCATGTGCAGGTTTTTGTATGAACGTTAGTTCTGAATTCACTTGGCTAAATATCAAGGAACACTATTGCTGGATCATATAGGAAGAATATGCTTAGCTTTGTAAGAAACTGCCAAACTGTTTTCCAACTTGGCTGTACCATTTTGCATTTCCACCAGCAGTGAGTGAGAGTTTCTGTTGCTCCATATCCTTGCCTGTATTTGGTGTTTTGGTGTTCTGGATTTTGGCCATTCTAATAGATGTAGTGGTATCTCATAATTGTTTTAATTATCACATCCCTGATGACCTATGAGGGGAAGCATCTTTTCACATGCTTATGAGCCATCTTCTTTGGTGAGGTGTCTGCCTAAATCTTTTGCCCATTTTTAATTGAGTTTTTTGTTTTCTTGTTGTTGAATTTTAAGATATCGATCTTTGTATATTTTGGATAACAGTCCTTTCTTAGGTATGTATCTTGCAAATATTTTCTCCTAGTCTGTGGCTTGTCTTATTCTCATGACAATGTCTTTCACAGAGCACAAGTATTTAATTCTAATGAAGCTTAGATTATCAATTATTTCCTTCCTGGACCATGCCTTTGGTGTTGTATCAAAAAAGTTAATGCCAAACCCAAGATCATCTAGATTTTCTCCTGTTATCCTCTAGAATTGTTTTATAGTTTGTAATTTTACATTTAGGTCTATCATCTATTTTAATTTTTCTGAAGGTTATAAAGTCTGTGTTTAGGTTCATTATTTTGCATATGGTTGCCTACTAGTTCCAGCACCATTTGTTGAAAAGACTATCTTCTCTCCATTGTAACACCTTTGTTAAAGATCAACTGACTATGTTCTTGTGGTATCTTTTTCACTTT